TATTTATACATTAAAATTTTAAGACAGATGAGACCCTAATATATCCACTTTTCTGCAACTTGCTTTGTTTACTTCTCAATGGCTAGAAATAAGAGTATCTCTGGATGGATAGACAGTAAACTGATAACAATAGTTGTCTGGTTGCCTCTGGGCAGTGAAACTAGATTACTGGGAAATAAGAATAGGAGGAAGATTTATTTTTTACTTTATTCTGTTTCATACTTTTTTGGATTTCTTAAATAAATAAACTTTTTAAACTAAAAAAAAGAAGAGAACTATATCAAGTCTCATGGGAGACAGTCATACAGGGAAATGACAATATAGGGAAATGTGAAGAGTGCTGCCAAAGGATACACATAAGGAGCTATAAGAGCATAACACAGGCAGCAAAGAACTCTGCCCAGAGCGTCAAGGCCGGCTTGGTGGAAGTGATGACATCTGAGCTGGCTCTTGAAGTATAGGAAGGAGGAGGTGGTAGAACAGAGGTAGAATAAAGGACAAGGGTTTTGTGTTGATAGCAAGTACCATTGTACCATCTGAGTAGAAGGTGCTTGGGGTAGGGGGTGGTCAGTGACACAGCAGCTGGACAGGCAGAGGGTGCAGAAGGCTGAATAACGGCTCCCAAAGGTGCCCTGGTCCCAATCTCTGGAACCTGTGAATGTTACTTGTAATAGCAAAAGGGATTTTGCAGATACACTTAAATTAAGACTCTTGAGATGGGGAGATTATATTAGGTTATCTGGGTGGAACTAGTGTAATTAAAGCATCCTTATAAGAGGAGGCAGGGGGAGTCAGAGAAGACCATGTGACTCGGAGGTTGGAGTGATGCACCTTGCAGTCAAATGCTCTACCCCTGAGCTATGCCCCCACAGGTGATGCATTTTGAAGACCGAGGAAGGGGTCACAAGTCCAGGGATACAGGCGGCCTCCAGAAGTTGGAAATGGCAAGGAAAGGGGCTCTCCCCTGGATCCACCAGAAAGAACCAGCCTTACTGATACCTTGAGTTGAACCCACTGAAACTGATTTGGACCTCTGCACCCCTCAGAATTTTCAGGGAATACATTTATGTTGTTGTAAGCCACCAAGTTTGTGGTAATTTGTGGCAGTAGCAAGAGGGAACTAATATGGGGGTGAAGTCATGTTCATGCTGGGAAGGCAGTAAGGAGTCAGTGAAGGCCTTGAAACAGAAGTGTCACATCATTTGCTGGCATTAAAAAAGATAATAGGTCAGAATGAGAGTGGCAGGAAACTGAGGAAAAGGAGAAACGTGAGGGTGTGAAAACACTATTTCAATAGTTCTAATGAGAGCTGATACTCTAGACTCATACAATTCTGAGAAATGGACAAGAGAAGACACAGGCTGAAGAAATATTTAGATGATAAAATGAGAGCTTTGAAAATGGTTGATTGCAGAGGATGGGGGAGCACATGAAAGAGATGTTGATCACTGAGGTGCCCACAGAATATCCAGGTGGAAACAAGGAAGGGTAAATGAGGTTTTGAATCTTAAGGAAAAGTAGAGATAGAGGTTGATACAGAAGAGAATTACCCAGCAGCAGTAAGGAAGAGATAGAACATGAAGGATGAAGTTTTAGAAAAAAAGCAAAATGTAATGATTCCTTTAGAAGAGGAAGGGCAAAAAAGAAAGAAAGGCCAAAGGTTTGTGAAGAGAATCTGGACAGAACAGCATCAGGGACACAAGGGCAGAGTGAATTTTCAAGAAGACAGACCCAGTCAAGAGGGGACAAAAGGCTTCAATGAGATAGATAAAGTGGTCACAGAATAGAAAAGTCAGCCCCTGATTAAGAAGCACTTCATTGCCTTCCCCAGGACTATTTCTGTAGCATGAAGGGGTTGAAGGCAATAATTTGAAGAGGGAAAGAAGTTAAAAAGGAGAGAAAAGATGTATATGCTACTCACTCAAGAAATTTGATGGTGATAAGTTGGAAGGAAATACTGGTAAAAGAGTTGCATGTTCATAAAAATATTTTTTGGAAGATATAAGTTTGGGGAAGGATAACTCAGTGGCTGGATGGACTGAAGTGGCTGGAAAGACTAAACATGAGGAGACTGATGAATGAGTGAGCGCTTAGAGGAAGCAGAGAGGGGTGGGAGCAAGCATGCGGACGGAAAGGTCAGCCTGAAGAGGAGGAACTCGTTTTACTTTCTGAGGTGCAAGCGCAAAGGGCAACGAGAGACAATATAATCAGTTTAGAAGTGGAGAGAGGAAAATGAGAAATTTCAATTGATCATCTTTATTTGCTCTGTTAAAAAAATTAGGATAGCCTAATCTCAATGAGAAATGGGAGTCTATTTTTCATAGGCTTCAGTCAGACTTATCTAGAAACAGGTGTTCCTAAGTATTGGGATGGCCAAATCACATAGCGGTAGTATGGCAAACAAGTGTCTGTTGAATGGGAGGGTGCCTTCTGAAGATCTGGCCAAAAATATCCACCTCTGGCATCCATCAGGCAGGTGTAGCTAAAGCACTTTACATGTGGATAACACAATCCACATGGGCAGTGACCACATCAGAAGGGCTTCCACCACCATTCCCACCACTGCTACTGCCACCACCATTAAGGACAGTCGCAGAACACCTACAATGAACAATTGCTCAGGGCTTCCTGTGGCCCTGGCGCTGGGTTAGCCCCTGGGTATTTAAAGTTGAGTAAAGAATGGCAGCTGCTGTTTAGAATTTTTGTGGTGGATTTGCAGAGAGAAGAGAATCTTTATTCAATGCCTGACCTGGAGGAAGCTTCTCACATAAAGGGAGGCCTAGGAAGGATCCATGAACTCGCAGAGCTGGAAAGGATCAAGGATCACAGAGGGATTACAAGTGAGGTCTTGATAGTGCACCGACTAAATAAAAGTCACCTGGTTGATTCTATAGTCTCAACCCTTAATTAAGCCCTGTGCTCTTTCTATTTCATTTCGACCATGATAAACCTCCTATCCTATTCAATCCATAAGCAATTTTAGGTATCTTGTCATAGGTACAAAAGGAAAGAACAGAGAAATCCTTTTCACTAGAAGGTTTTTAAAGTTAGAGCCGGCAAGAACATATAATCAAAGGACTCAAGTCCAAAGAGGTGTAACTTTCATGTCATGGTAGGCATGGCCCACTCAGAACACTTCACCATTAGTGTATAAACCCCATTCTGGAACAATCCTCTCAGAGTGCATAGAAGCAGAAGAAAATCTTCCTTTGTTTTATGCACTTATAATTCTTAGTCAGTAGCATGGTTCATACGTCTGGAATAAAAGGAACTTAGTGCCTAAAGAGGAGAAAAATATTTAAGAGTAATAACCAGACCAAACAATATGAGAGATAAACCCTATGATATAAAGTTAAGACTCAGAAGTGGGGCTTGTGTAAACAGACAACTGAGAGAGATCAAAATAGACATGCTTAAAATGTTTGAAAATCTTTAAGATTAATAACAAGCAAGGGGCTGCCTACATCATATTTATGAGAACTAAAGTCAACAATAGGACTATGACAAAAATAGCTCCTGTGTGGCAAGAATGGCTTGAGTTCCAGAGAGGTAGGACACAGGGCCAAGGTCATGGGCAAATTTCCCTCCTGGGCTCAGTGTTTAACTTTAAGGACACTATAAGCTTGAGACAGAAGCAAGAAGTAGAACCAGGAGTTCTGGGGAAGGCCAGACTCTCATCTCCCAGCAGTCCCAGGGCCTGACAATCCTTGAACCACATGCAAACAGAAATAGAGGAGAATTTTGTCCTTTGGTTCAACCACTAGGTTCAGGCATGGAAACATAAGACAGCCTTGCCAGCTAGAACTGGTCTAATCTACAATTGATTACTTTACACTCCTGTGTAGGCAAACTGGATTCAGACAATTTTAAGATGCTGATGTTTGAAGGGATATCAGAGACCTATGATTGGATATCTGAGTTTAGGGGAATCAGGGCTTGGGGGGAAATGCCTAGAGCAACTGCAGCCCAGTCACAAGCCTCTTACTTCTTCTGGGAGAAAATGCCCAGCCAGAAGAGAGGTTCTCATGCCTCTGTTGCCTATGGAACAAGAGAAAACAGGAATTTGTATGGAGCTCAGAGAACCAAGAGCATCTCAGCCACAGAGGCACATTTTCCCCACTGCAATACTGCTGACAGCAGAGGGTCCCTAGTCTCAGAGGGCCTCTTGATCATTAAATCTTAGATGACCTACTTCTTGAATTTTCATTGTGCTCATTTCATTACTTGCTCCTTAGCAACTCACACATCCATAACTTGGTCTCATCAGAATGTCCTGAGGATAAACTCAAGAGAAGAAATTCCATGAATGGCAATTCTAGGCCAGTTTTGGTTGATCAGAATACAAATTTACCAAAGCATGCACCTCCTATACCAGACAGTGAATTCAGAAGGTTTGAAAAATTCCGATTTCTTATTCTTATTTGAACTGAATATTAACTTTCTGTCAAATGGTGGACAAGGATTTATTTGGGAGGCTGTTATCCAGAGCTACACAAATGCTTGGGCCAACAGAGAGCAACTCATAGCACAAATCAGTAGGAGAAATGAACCTAAATACTGGGCAGAACAGAGTGAGAGGTGTACTGTGTGATTGCTTCGAGGGCTGGCCAGCAGTGGAGGCTGGGATAGCTGGAGGAAGGACTAGTGGGGGAGACCACAAGTCTCTTTCTCCCGCACTCCATAAGAACACTCTAGCACTTTGCTTTTGCTACGGAAGCAGAAGTACGGGGACTAGTAAAAACTTACAGAGGACCCTCTTTATGATAGCTAACACAGTGACGAGAATAGCATTGAACCCATCCTGCATGTGAAGTTTACCCAAACACCCCAAGATGTTAGCAACCAAAACCTTGGCAGTGCTAAGAATGGGCATGGAGCCTTGAGGCAACATCTAAATTAGCCCTTTTCTAACAGGATCCCAAAGTTTGCTCCTAGTGGTGGCACCGAGTCAGCCAGTGCCTATGTGGGGTGTAGAACTGGCTGATGAGCATGCCACTCACCTTTGCTGATGTCTTCATAATCCAGCCAGAGTCGCCGCTGGACCTGCTTGTTTGGGTACCAGATAGAGCAGGACTCCTCAAAGCCGTAGATAGCTTCCTGGATGTAATGGTTGCCAAACTGGTCCAACAGCGCCACAAAGTCCCCACGAGATGTAGCCCCATCCAGGGAGTGGAGTGCATTGCTGAGGGCTATGGAGAAACACCACCCAAAAGCAAGAGTGAGAACTCACCACATGGTATCTGGATTCCCAGGCCACTCAGCCTCAAATGTGGAAGTGCCTGCTTGGCTCACAGTGATGCTGGAGAGCTGGCTGGAACGGCCGGGTGAATATTTCCATTTAGCTAAAGGAGGCATTTCAGGTCCTAAATGAATTTTTCTTCATGCCAGTTGGTTATATTGTTGACTTTGTGCAAGTCAAGGGGAGCACTGCCAAATCTGACTCCCTGTTTAAGTCAATGTGTTTTGTTTTTTTTTTCAAATCACAAGTCATGACATTAAAATCAATGTAGTTAGGTCAAATAATAGCATTTGAAAGGAAATGAAAAAGAATAGTCAAAAACAGAAACACAAATACTAGCAGAGAACATTTCACATTGTAAGATTCATGACATTAAAATCAATGTAGTTAGGTCAAATAATAGCATTTGAAAGGAAATGAAAAAGAATAGTCAAAAACAGAAACACAAATACTAGCAGAGAACATTTCACATTGTAAGACGAAGCACTGCTTCACAAAACTTCTGTCGTGTGTGTGTAGGTGTGCATAGGGACAAGGTCAGGTGTAAAATGTGACCTGACTGTGGGTAGTGACCAAAAAGGTTTGCAGAACGTTGCTTTCAGACACAGAAACTGGTAAAGGGGAGACAATGAAAGAAGAAAGGTGAGAAAAGCAATATGCACTGCTTATATTTATTTTAGAAAATGAAAATTATAAGGACTGGGAAATGGCAAAGTGAGAAAAAGATCTGTTTGCCTCCTCCCACTCCTCCCAAGACAATGGATTTACTTCCCTTGTTTAAGAGAATTATGCTTGTCAGAATGATACCCCAAGGCAAATTTTCCAAATCTAATACCTTCTGGACCCGGCCAAGACTTTATGCAGTCTTCCTTTCTATGCGCCTGTTTCCCATCAGGACAAAGCAGAGCCTGGCCCAGGCAGGCCTCCCCAAGTACAGAAATGTTCACATCACCCATGATGCCTTGTGTGGCTTGAAAAATCACATGGCAAGAGCAACATCCCATTATCAACCCCTGATGTGCGTGGCACCTGTGCTGGGTGCAAATGCAGCATGTAAACAGGATAGTCTCCACTGCTGTACTTTCCTAAATGAAGAGTAATTTCGTTCTGTCTCGGTGTTTTCTGCACCAGCAGAGTTTACTTCAGTAAGATTCTCATCCCAATCCCTTCTTGCCAAGAATTTCTTCATGTGAAAAGAAGTTCTGAGTCCCGTTGTGTCCTATGGAAATGTTCTGTATCATGAATGCAGTTTCTCTCTCTATGCATGAAGCTTAACCTTTTGTGAGTGTATTTCTCACATCTCTTTATAATTCTTTGTCTGTCCCCTGTCCTTTATCACTCTGCTATTGGCCCTAAGGCTCTGCATTCCTGTTGCTGACCCTAAGATCCCTCTCCTTGTCTTGTCATCCTCTGCCACCAGTATCATCTGGCTATAGTTACCCTTCATCCGACCCAGTGAAGGTAGATTCTATGGGAGAAAGTTCAGGAGTTGAGAAACACTCTCCTAGTCCAAGGGGATGAGGTAGAATAAAGATATGTACCTGTAGTAAGGCCTTATTTGTACAAATTTTCTCATTTGCAAATTGCACATTGGAATTGCTCAAGGGCTAGGAAAACCTGGATTCTGGGCATTTACAACTAAAATTTAAAGGATACTTGGACAGGGTTCCTCCCTGTTCTGTTTTGGAACAATTTGTCCTAAGCTTTAGAATTCACATCTCCTTAACATACTTATATAGATATGGGTATAAATATAAATAAATCTCTAGCTAATCTTTTATTTACTTGCCGTTTGGGGACCATAAACTGTTTTCTATTTCCCTTCCCTCTTCCCTTCTTGTTTTCTTCCCTTCTTTCTTCCATCGCATGGAGCTTCTAAGTTATGCTCTTTGCATCTGGAAAGTTTTATTCTGCCCATCTATAAAAAGCCTTCTTTTGCATATCCTCCCTTTACACTGGGTGACCCCAGGGAAAATGATAAAGTAGGCGTTTATCTTCAGTGGTCCCTGTCTTGCCCTTTCCATCTCTTCTATAGTCTAAGTTAAAACCTGCAATTTAATCTGTACTTAAAAAGGGATCCAATTCCAGGTATTTGCCCTTCAGCGTGAACCTCAGCGAATAGGTTATGTATTTCATGGAGTGGCTACATTTTCGACTTTATCTTCGACAATGGAATAAAAGGCTGTGCCCTTGGAAAAGAATTCCAAACCCCAGGAGCAGGTGGGAGGGATGTCTTGCTGCTCACCCTGAGAGACGGTTGCTTGGTTGAGTCTGATGTGGTACATCACAGACCGGACCTTCCAGTGCTGCAGCACCGGGTACCCCGACACCTCACTGAAGTTCACCATCCCTGGGGACAGAGGAGACACGAGCTCAGAGTATGCCACTGATTCCCAAGTTCCAAGTCTATTAGGGGGTGTCATTATGAGAAAATCAGACAGAGTTCTTTCATGGAGAGAAGGCTATCATTTATTGAACACTTACTCTGTGCCGGACGTTTTGCTAAGTACTTTGCACATATAAACTAATTTGATCCTTGTGAGTTAGGTGCTATTATTTGCATTTTACCAATGGGGAAACTAAGGTTCAGAGAGAGTGCTTGCATAATGGCCCTAGGCCACCAGGTTGAGCCAGGATGGAGTTCCAGCTATGTCAGAGACAGGACTGGGGTTCTTAGTCATTCTACTGTAATATTCCTTTAATAAATTTATATGAAATTCTTGGCTTACTGTAACAGCAGATTTCTATTCTTTTTAAGAGCTGAAGTAATTGACTCAGCTCACATACCTGATAACATTGATTTTTCTGTCCCATATAACTGATTTGTGTTCAGTAGTTAAGTTTTAATTACTCTGAAGCTGATAATGCTTATTTCTTCTTTACCAGGAGGGACTGTGTCAAGTGTTGACTGTAGCTCCATCTCTGTGTCAGACACTGTGAGAGATGCTTTATTTGGGGTCTCCCTTTTACTAATTGAAGACCTGGGGCTCTGAGAAGCCACGTTCCTTGCCCAGGCCTTCTTCAGTAAGCATATCCTTGTGGCCCCTTAGAAACACTGCAATGGGCTGTTCTCACGTGAACACCATTTGCATTCTAGCCATTACTGTGAATATGAAACACTA